GCATGTGGGAACCATAAAGCAAACTATCTATTATAACTTTCTTCATATCATTTGTGTTTTTATTGGCAGCACGTGCTTTTCAATCTTTTTAGAGATATCACTCTGCAACTTTTCTCAACTACAGTCAACTACTCAGACAAACTGGAAGAGTAAAATAATATGATATTTCAATAAACTATCTGGTAGTTTGAACTCGTAAAAAACATGAAGAACTTTTACTCACATGACAAATTTGTTACAATTTTCGAAGCTGATTGAAATTTCCAGCTCTGCGACTTCATCACACATATCAGAGTCCTGGGCTCGGAATCTCGAAAGGTTCGCGATGTTGCGCACACGCTCTAGCATGGCTAGCGTGCGCTATCCCGTATCTCGAAAGAATCGCTATTTTGAGCGCCTGCGCTAGCATTGCTAGCGTGCGCTATCCCATATCTCGAAAGCTTCGCAAATCCCGGCCGTGCGCTAATGTCCAAATCGCCATTAGTTTCGAGGCTATTATTTGCGGCGATACAAACTAGTCGCAAAGGCCTCTGCGTATGCAAAATTCGTCATTTTAATGTGTCTTTCATGTAATTAAACATGGTGGCAAGTTTGGGTTGCTAGTCATAATAGCATATAATAAAACATATAACAAAAACATGGAAGCTTTTAATTGATTGAATCACTGGTACCTCTGATAGAAAAACTTGCGGTAAATATTCACGTGAAGAATGCCAAAGTCATATTTTATTATGCAGAAAAATTTCAAAATTAAACATTTCATACATCATTTTATATTTTCTGGTGAATTTCATTCATCTGTGTAGTCTATTGATAATAATAATAAATTTAAAAGTGTCATTTTCCACACAAAATGAAAAAGCAGAAACAAAGCATTCGGCCGCACCGTGACCTTCCTCAATGTCTATTATTGTGAGACTGAACACTACTCACCATTGTGTCAGTAATTGTGTCAGTCCAAGCTTCGCTTATTGAATTGTTTTTTGACATTTTATTGGTGTCAAATACTTCAAATATCAGTATTTGTAATTATGATATTCCTATAAATAAAAACAAACCTCTTGATTTGCGTCATGGTGAAAAAAATTGCATTTTGTGTAGATCTAATTGTGTTATGACGTCTTCACTTCATGCGGCAATCGAATATTAGAAGAGTTTGAGGTTATAATTGCGTTGCGTCTGCTAAGGCTTCGAGATAGCAGGTGGGTGCAATCGCACTAGCAAATAGCGCACGCTAGCTATGCTATAGCGCGTGCGCAACATAGCGAACCTTTCGAGATTCCGAGCCCTGTTCTTACAGCCTCCAGTTGTCAAATGACCAGCCAAGAAGATACGAGTAGTTCGCACTGCGCTGAGCGACTTGTTGTTATGTAATTTGTCAGAAGTGACTTTTGATTTATGATGTGAAATTTATTCAGATTATTATATCTTATTATGTGTTTGGGTATAAAAGTGAAAATAATTATTTTTCCTATACACCTTTGCTGTTATCATAAGGAGTGAGGGAGTGAGTAAATATTTTCTCAAGTCAAAAAAAAGTTACGTTGTACCTATACTACTGGTACTAGTACAGTGTTGGCTAGTGCAATATGTACAAAAAGATAAAATAAAGGAATTTTTAAGCAAATAAATAAATAAATGAATAAATAAATGAATAAAAATATTTTAAAATAAATAACTAATTTTCCCCTCTGATTACTCAGAATTTCAATTATTTTAACTATTCGTGAAGTATCATTTACTTACTAATGCCCACTGAAAACTAAAATTGTCCTTTCCATCCGGATTTGTTCATCAACAGTTGCTAAATAGTATTCTCATTAAAATCAGAATTTCAACCATTTCAGTACTTCTTAGAGTATAATGTATAAATGTATAAATTGCTAATTTATACAGCGGCTGATTTGGGGGGGGGGGGGTGTCAGGGGGGATCCTGTTCCCCCGCCTTTCGGTTTCTGGAAAAATATTCCCCTCCTGATTTAAGAATTTTGAAGAGCTGAATCATAGTTCTAAACTGCACCGAAAGGCAACGTTTGCCCTCCAAAACACCCAAGGATCGGCTTCGCATCAGAAGCCTGTCATTCTTAAAAAAAAAAAAAAAAAAAAAAACTGGACCCCCCTTCAAATAACCCTGGATCCGCCCCTGTTATACTCACTGATAATTAAAATCACCCTTACCTTCTGGATTTTCTCACAAATGGTTGTTATTTGAAATGTAAATTTGTTACAAGTGCCCACGTTCTCGTTTTGAACAGTGTGCACCCAAAAGTATTGCATTTTAGGTGTAAATACAATCTATGTTTATCTCAGTACAAAATGACAAGTGTGTTTTACATGTTGTGTAGAAATTTTGATTATAAAATCATTGAAATGTGAGTTTTTGGTACGAAATTCTTCGTAGAAGGACAGATTTTGGACGTTATTTAATTTTCATTCCTTTTATATTTCATCACCAGTCTATAAAATTTAATTCATATAAAATATTAGTTTTCCTTTTATTTGGTATGTACTGCTTATAAGTGACTATACTCATTCTAAAACTGCAGGAAGTAAATGACACTAGATAAATGCAGGAAATTTATTTCAAAGTAAGAAATTAATTTTAAAAAAAAAGTAGAAAGAAAACAGCTATAATCAAGTGTTATTTAATCAATTAAGTGTCAGTTTAAACTGGAATTTAGTCTGGAACTTTGTAATAAGTAGGCCTACAATGTTATGTAAGGATCGAAAGCCATCAATGGAATATTATCAAATAAGCCTCACAGATAGTATCATGAAGTGTAAAACAAATCCACGACAGTCAGTTTTCTTGTTCCAACAAGCAATGTGTTTTACCTTGCATAGGTCTATGTAAGCCTAGATCTAGTTTCTTCACGAAAATCGTCAACACCTTTAACGCCTTTGGCCTACAGATTTCCCCCGATTTTAAATTTGTGGTTGTGACATCTGAGCTCCAATGGGTATATATATATTTTATTTTTTTTTTAAATTTTGTAAGCGTGTTATTGAGTCTTTCCAGGATTTTAAACCGTTTCTTATTATATTTATAGATCTACACGTAGATCTATTCAAATTTATCGAATCTACAGCGGCATGTTACGGGAGTTGTAACGTTGTGCAACGTAAACATGATGACGTCATCTGTGTGACGTAAAACGTCAAGCAGATAACGTGGAATGACACCACGTGCGCTTGACGTAACGGTTTTGCGTCCGCGACAGTCTTAGGCAACTTCTGTCCAGGGGCAAAATGTCCGTAATAGCACTGCCTGGATAATTTGGCACTGAAAAAGAGGAGTAAACGTTTTAGATTCTCACTGTTTATTTCAAGACTATCTATCAACTTGACGTAAAATTCAAGTCCAGAGTTACCCATTTGACAAGCAGGTAAGTCGAAATGAAACGGGAATAATTCAGGTCGCATATTAGGTCAAATAACGCAACCAAAATATATATTTTGCGTGATTTCAACAAGTGAATCGAAACATTTAAAGATATTTCGGCCAAAAATCACATTGCCTTTACAATGATTTCGAGTTAGCACCGAAGTTTAATTTATCAGGTTGGTATTTTTTGGTATTTTTCCTAATTTCCAATCGATTTATTTTATGTCATATAATCTTATTCCATAAAAATGATAAATGAAAATTATCAAACCTAAGCCGAAAAACTTTCATACCGTTCGTAAACGTTCGAAATGAGGCTCTCTAGAAATGAACTCTTTTCAGGTATGATGGCCTTCTCACAAATCGCAGCTGTCTTCTTTTGTTGCTTTTTGACTTTTCATCTCACGCCTACCAGTGCAAGTACGTATTTTAAAAACGTCTCACAAGTAGTACACAAAGGTTTAATGCTCTCAATCATTACATATTGCTATTGTCGTTTCACCCCTCATCAGTAGACTATGGGGATTTTTTTTCAAAATAGCGAATGAAAGGAGTTTTCATAAATTCGTTTTCTGCATGTTCAATTTTAATTTTTATTTTGCTCAATAAGTTTTGGTAAGATAAAAAAGCTTGTAATAACCACTCGGTAAAAATGCTAATTACCACCCCATCGTTTTCATTAAGATGTAAATTTACAGATATTTGTGGTTTGGGAATTTTAAAAATCGAAATCTGTAAGTAGGCCTAGTAGAAGTCTGCAAAACGCTACAAGATATTTCTTTAATTTTTCTTATTTCTGGCGAAAACCCTGCAAACCTTTCCGTTTACTTCTAACGATATATCAAATTATGATGCATTATCAACCACGTTTAAATGAAATTAAAATAACATGTTTCTTGAACAGGGTGGAGACATCCAGTAGCCGGCCCAGAGGGCGGACGCTACACGGGCTGCTATTCTAAACCCAGCACGACTGCCTTCACCAGTCATGAAAAGATGGGGCGTTTACTCAAAGTTGGAGACTGCACAGACTTCTGCAAAAAGAAAGGAAGTAAATATGTAGCACTGACCCAATCGAGGTAAGCTACAAAAATGTTATTGGGATGTGAATTACACAAAATCAGTTAATCTAAAATGAGGACTCAATACAGCTAGTGTGTCAAATATTATTTCTGTTGCCAGTTTTTGACGTTGTGTAATTCACAAGCATGTCTGCATGTCTGTGTCCTTTCATCAATTCTTGCCGATTGTTAGTATCTTTAATATTCCGTTCGATAGATTCACTGTGCAAACTTCAAAGCCATTAATGATGATTCCACTTTTAATTTGAAGGCGAATAAACACCATATGCCGCTGTTTGAAAAACAACGTCCATCTCCGTCAACTTAAGAGAGTTAGTGACTTCCGATGTAACTATCGTTGCCGAAAATCGTTGCTGCCTTGTGGAGGGTTTCGCGGCCAAACGGTTATCTACGCCATAGTTAAAAAAACCAGAACACAAATTCGGCTCGGTTCTAAATCACCCTATGTCAGGAGAAGGAATATCAGAAAAAGACCAAGGCATCGGCCAAGGCCAAGAAATATATGGCATCGGCGACGTGGTTCTGGCAGGGCCATGCGTAGTAAAGGGCGTTTGGAAAGGCTTAAGAGAAGGCGTCTGTATTTAGAAAGGATTAGGAAAAGGCGACGTCAGCATTATGAAAATTTTTGGAAAAGGCGACGTCAGTATTTGGAAAGGCGTAAGAAAAGGCGACGTCAGTATTTGGAAAGGCGTAAGAGAAGACGACGTCTGTATGCGGAAAGGCTTAGGAGAAGGCGACTTAGATTGAGAAGACCAGCTGTTCATAAGCGCCGTCCGTCAATCCGCAAACCTCCCCCAAGACGGAAACCCATCCCTAAACCGAAAATTGTAGCCGTTGAAGTTGAACGCAAACCGGGATCTAAACCAAAAGTGGTGTCAGTTGACATTGAGAAGCCAAAGCCGAAGCCTAAAAAGAAAGTTACAACTGTTAAAGTCGCAGCCAAACCAGTTAGTAAACCCAAAGTGGTGGCAATCCAAGTGGTGCCTAAAACGACAACGAAACCAAAAATTGTAATCATTGAAGCGACGACAGAGAGTCCAAAGGCCGCTGAGGAAACAGAGGAGGGTGAAGGAAATGGTGAGGAAGAGGAGGGCGAAGGAAATGGTGAGGAAGAGGAGGGTGAAGGAAATGGTGAGGAAGAGGAGGGTGAAGGAAAAGGTGAGGAAGAGAAGGAGGAAGGAGGCGACGAGGAAGGAGGAAAAGAGGAGGAAGATGAAGGAGGCGAGGAAGGTGAAGAGGAGGAAGAGGAAAAATAATAGCACGTCTGATAATACGCAAGTTTGAAGGATGTCAAATTCTCAGAAGTTTTGAATGAATTCGTCTTACATTGCCTAAAATGTTACCTTGTGCTGTTAAGCTGTCGCGCAGTTAACGAAGTAAATGAAAGATGAATTGCGTTCTGAAAAGAACTTAAATTTAAAAACGGCGTGGTAAATCAAACCATCGCACACGTTTTCCAAGTTACAATTGGAAACAAACAATTGGCTGTTCTTTTTATGAGAGAAAAACTGCGCACTCGATAACCTGTTTTAATAAAAATCGTAAGTGTATGTTAGCGCATAACGCATTTGTGTTTTTATTTAAACTTTGTCTTATTACAATAACGTATGGAAATAAAACGTTGAAGCAAACTGCATTGTTTTAATGTGATTCATGGTTGAGCAGGCAATTATTAAGAATTATTTTTTATTAAAAAAAATTTTTTGGGGTANATCGTAAGTGTATGTTAGCGCATAACGCATTTGTGTTTTTATTTAAACTTTGTCTTATTACAATAACGTATGGAAATAAAACGTTGAAGCAAACTGCATTGTTTTAATGTGATTCATGGTTGAGCAGGCAATTATTAAGAATTATTTTTTATTAAAAAAAATTTTTTTGGGTAGACCTCGACCCCGGATTATGGAACGATATTTGACGTTTTTCAGCTTTGCACAGTCTGTGTATAAAAATGAACGTAAACTAACCTCTAATACTTTGCATGTAGCTACGATAGAGCTTTATTTACTATTTTGTAAAGCTTAATCCATATGATTGGGGTTGTTATTGGAGAAAAACGCTAAAATAATGGTTAACTTCGAGTTGTTCTCAAATCCCAGATTATGGAACAAAACCGGAAGTGCGCAGATAACGTTGCGTCAGAGTGTGTTAGATAAGATGCAAAGCAATATGTAGCGCAGGGGGTCTATAAAAGACAATAAAACGACAAATGCGCATTATATTGCGAATATCAATGAACATAACAGCAGTTGTGATTCATATTTAGTTGGCCTTTTACTTTTAAACACAAATATTTCTAAAAAATGGAATAGTCCACCCATTTACCACTGCCTTGATCGGATTATGGAACGAAACGAGAAGTTGCCGCTACGTCGTAGTATCGAGACGATATCTAGTAGTCTGGTCATTTAAAATGCCAAATTGAAAATACTGTATTCATTATTATGAATTTAAAGAATAAAATTGGTATTTCTCATTTTAAAACTCATCGATCATTCATTTGGCCAGTCTTCAGGTAACAACACCAGTAATGATTCAAAATAAAATCTTTAATTCATGATAACAAAACTAGCAATTAACATTAACAGCTCACACACCACCAACAAAGAATTTATCGAAAGTGTGACAAATACAATAAAAATAAATAAATAAAAAAGACCGAGAACTTATGTAACAGACTAGTGCTGTAACCTAACAAAGAGATGAATGTATTCAGTTTTTTTAACATCGCTGACCTTTATAAAATGCATTAAACATTTAACTCCATAAAATGAAATCACTGCAATTTATTCTATTATTATACTGTCTCGCAACTCTGTCACCATATGGAATAATAATGTGCGTTTGTTTTTATGTACGTATGTATGTTTATTTTTACGTTGCGTTGTTTGTAACGCACAAGAACATATCACTTGTAGGCCCATGTCCTTTTGCGGTATAATTAAGAAAAAAAAAAACAATATAAATCTAAGATATATATATATATATAACAAAAGAACTCATCCAATATTTCTCCTTTATTGAGATAAATTCCAGCATATATAACTCAGGGAATCGTCCAAAAATGTAGTGGTTTAAGCGCAAGTGAAATGTTCTTGCGCGTTAAGCCTAGGTTCCAAATACGTTTTGGACGCACGGTTTTTTAGTTCCTTGCGTCCAGCTAGGACGTAGCTAGATCGCACGTAGCGGCTGTTGATCATGTCGAAAAGTTACTACGTGCTGTTTGCGTCCTCCAAAAGTCGCACGATGGATGTGCTCCTCACGCACGAACTCCCAAGTTTTCCCCATTTTTTTGGCCGTAGACCACACTTAGCAGCCCGTCCGTTCGGTTGGAACCTAGGCTTTACAAAGAACGCAACGTAAAAATTGTTTTTTCTCTCTTCTTCGTTCTGCTCTTTTCTACGTACGTTTCACCTCCAATGCCCTCTGTGCCTTTCGCTCTCGTACCTCAGCCTTCTTCCTCTCCCTCTGCCACGCCCGCTCTTCTCTTCTCCTCTTCCTCCATTCTTCGCTTAGCGCCATCTTCGGCTTTTCTCATTTTTTCTACAGCTCTTATTTTCTTTCTTTGTTTGTTTGTTTGTTTCTTTCTTTCTTCCAAGTCTTTAAATAATGCTTTCTTATTTCCGATATCCGAACAAATCTTTATTTGAAGACAAAATTCATTTTCTCATTATTTTTCATTTATTAAGCATGTTTTTTATTTCACTATATTGCACCTATTTATCCTTCCCGGTTTTCTAAGGGAAAACTCGGGATGTCGATTCATGAACCGATCCCACCAGCCGTTCGACGCTGAAAAGCCCATAGGCCTATCCTTTTGTTTTCCCACCGCCAGAGCAAACTCGCAGACTCCAAGTCTTTGGTGAGGGGAAACCCCCAGTCACTCATAATAAGGCAGTAGTGGACTAGAGCTGCCTCGTCAGAGTGACTGAGGGCCAACATCCCATGACCACCTCCCTTGAGAGCACCTGTGGTATATTTATAACTTTAAGAAAAATAGAAGAAGATAGGCCTACTGGATAGAGATAGTTGAAATAAGAAGTTTTAAAGATAAAACTCCCAGCGAAAGGCGCAAACCTAGTAGGCCCTAAATGATTCATAAGTCTAATATTTTTTTTTTCGTCACAACAAAGATCAAGCATGTGCCATTTGTGTAGGCCTACCTGAAATATGATTTAACTTTGGCACCTCAAATAGGCCTATAGGCCTACGTGCCGCCCCTGATATTGAATAAGAGTGGGCCTATAATTTCCTCTTTGAAATGCTGAAATATATCGAGCATGAAAAAGGTCAGTAACGATTTTTCTCTCATAATGTCAATACAAAAGTCAACATTAAGTGTTATTTTGTGAGAACAAATTTATTTATTTCACAAGTCGCTTGAGTCTAATAGCGCTCGTAGCGTTCTCTAGCGGCAGTTTACAGTGAGCTGAAAACACCCACAGCTATGCCCAACATCAAAGCCATTTTTATGAGATCTTGGAATACTTCAACCTCTTGAAAGTGGATGTTTAGAAATAATTTCATTAAGCCGAGAACAAGAAATACAAACAATAGGCTAAGGGATGAGACAAGCTAGGTTACAATACTTAGCCTATGGCAGTAAAAGACGGCCGTGTTTACGTCCACAGCGATCGATGTATCTACCCGTAACCAGTATGAAAAAGTTAGAAATCGAAATCGGAAACTGACAGTAACACGTGCAGACGAAAGCGGACGATAAACGGCTTTAAAACTTGCTTGAATAAACGTAAGTTCATTATTAATTTTATCAAATTTGAGAGCAACGAACTTTCAAACGCTAACACTTCTATTGTATCAGGTCGTTACGGGCGTCTGCCTAGCGCATTTGAAACATTGTAGCAGACGCTTGAAACTTTCGTGACAACGGGAATTTTTTACGCTCTGCATGCTGGGTAAAAAGGGCAAACTTCTGGTTTTGTTCCATAATCCGGGGTCAGTGCCATAATGTGGGGTCGAGGTCTATATTGTCAATTGTTGAAGAGATTTTATTTATAAAAATTCACTATAAGAAAAATAATCTATGCATAAACCTGATAATTACGCACAGGCTACTGACACAAAAAGGGCAACAGAGCAAAGAAACGAAAGACTAATTTCGACATTTTATTTCTCTGGGAAATTCAAGTTAAATATGAATGGATTTGGAAAGATTTCATCATTCTACAGGGAGACAACTGATCCTTTTATCAACATGCCCAGAAATGCATTTCAATCAGTTGTGACCGCCCATAACCTGTTGCATTTGCAGATATATAAAAATCTCATCCCATATATATATAACTGCTTTCCAATATATTTACCAAAGAAGAAAGAGAAAAAAATATATCCTATAATGGAAAAATTATCCTTTGCTAAGTTTCTTTCACTTTAATAACATGCAAAATCTTTGCCGTCAGAACAAAAATCTTGTCAGTTGATATTGCCAGGCCCATCACTGGATCTGTAGAGTCTAAACTAATCACTTGTTGCTTAGCAACTGCTCCAACCTCCCTGCCAGTTTTTCTGTTCCTCAGAGGAGAGAGAGTAGCCTCTGGCTGACGGTAGACAAAAACGTGGCGGACACAGTCACAGAGCACTGCGAATGTTAAGTCTGGCGAGCACCCGGCAAATTTTTTGTCTCTTTTAGATGCCTGGACATACCCTAAGGCATTAAATGTACCGATGTGAAGCAACGGACACTCTTTTTTCTCGTAGTTTGCCTTTGGTTGCCATAGCAACCCGTCTACATCATGGCGAAGACACACTGCTGGCATCTGATCACTATGTAAAGCTGTGTTAAATAGCCATTGGTGACTACTGAGGTCCACCTGAAGTGACAAAAATGAAGACTGTAATGGCAAATATTTCATAATTTCGAGGGTTTTTTTTTTATTGTTTTAAATCAGCAAAAAGAAAGATGCATTATTGAACAATTAGATGCAGGAAAACCTCATTTTTTGGTATCTGAATCATTAAAGGTATGATAATAAAGGGTTACAATATCCTTAATGCACCATTTCTGTCAAATGCCAGATTCACTGCCTGCATAAGTAAATACATGCTTTACTTTCCTTAGTTAATGCACTACACTGATTGTTTATATAACAACTAAAATCTGAATTATATAGTTAATCACATTTTCCACTTAAAGTGGGAAAATTATAGTCAAGGACTGACAAGATAAATTCTCACAAAAATATACAATGTACACAGTTATCAGTGGCATGCTTCAAGGAAATAAATGTTTTCATCCTTATATTGGTTTAGGTGCAAATAACCACTCATGACAATCTATGCAACGTTAAAAAAAAAACAAAATGAACTTAGTAAAATGCATCATGTTACAAAATTGTCAAACAATATAAAAATGCCACTAAATTTTACATTACTTTTTAAAAAACAGTGACTGAAACTGGAAATTTTACCTGTGACCCTTTAATTACCCCTTGCCCCTTTGTGTGTTTTTTTTTTTACTTTCTGGTTACTTTAAAGGGATAACTCTTCGTGTGAGGTCTATACTTCACAATAAAAACATTGTGAATAACTCACAGAAATATAATATATTCTGTTTGACTACAAAAAGGGCAGTTTTAGCTATTATTCTAATATCTGAGCTTGTCTTCAGACCACGTGATCTCCATTGATGGCTATACTCTGTTATAATCTCTTAAGAGATTTTAACAAAAAATCAAACTTTTTAGAAAAAAAAAAAAACAGGGACTAACTTTGAATGTAAAAATGGATTCATTAACCATTGTAAGTATGGGAAAATTGTTGTTTACTCCAGGAAAATTCATTTTTTGGCCAAAACAAAGAGTTATTATCCCTTTAAATTCTTATCTTTGTACAAAATTCTTTGACTTCTAAACATTCAAAAAGCAGAGATACCGAAAATTAGCTCATTTAACATTCACTTACAGTTCTCAATCTATTCTAGAACATTTGGGAGTATTTTTTTTACAGCTCTAATGTTGTTCTGTAATGAATGTAACGGTTCAAGAACTATTTTGGGAAGTCCTTCAGAATGTCCCAGAACGGATTAAGAATATTTTCAAGAGAAAAAACATCATGTTCTAGTACAGACTGAGAACCGTAAGTGAGTGTTATATGACAAATTTTCGCATTGGATATTTTTCATCCCAGAATCCATCAACAACCACTCCATGTTGGACATCTCACCAGATGAGTCGACTGGTGTGTATCCCCGTCAAACCTCAACATGGCTGATGTTTCTTCTGGAAACGTGTCACATTCCTCCAACTGTTGGGAATTGAATGGTTTTTCACTTCTGTCTGGGTCAGCATTCTGTCAATAAATAAATAAATAAATAAATAAATAAATAAAAATATTTATTTTTATCTATAATAAAAAATCTTGCTACTTATAGAGCTTAAACAGATGCTGAATACTTTTTTTAAAAAAATGGTCAATAAAAGATGTTTGGTCAGTGAAAATGTGTGTGTTTTGGGTGGAAACAACCACTCATCACTGACTGTTTGCCTCAACATCTATTAACTAATGTGTGTGTGTGTGTGTGTGTGTGTGTGTGTGCGTGCTTGCCCATGTTAACATGTGATATTTACCAAGGTATCAGAGGTCAAGTGTTCCAGTCTTTGGTGTATCTCCTGTGCCGTGGCTGGGTCCACAACCATTTCTCCACGGTCATCTCCACTGACCACTGCTGACCACATTGCTGGGTCTTTCTTGCACAGTTGGAGTTCTAGTCTGAAATTTTGACGCCAGAATGTAGTTTTTTTTTTTTTAATAAATGAAGAAAATGATATTAACAAGGCAGCAAAGTTGTCAAATGTACAGAGGAAAAGCAGAATTTAGTAATGCACAACTTAACAGGATAACAACTGTTCATTTTGGCCAAAAAATGAATTATCCTGGGATAAACAGCAATTTTCCAATCCTTACCAATGGTTAATGAATCCATTTCTACATTCAAAGTTAGTCCCTGCTTTTTTATAAAAAGATTTTTTAATAATCTCTTAAGCATCTGTACATAAGAATGAAATGAAAAAAATTAATAGTTCACATATATATAGAAATTAAGCCTTAACACATAATTCATTCAGCAGCTATGTTACAAGAACTTAAAAGAGTAGAGATTTATGTGAAAAAAAAAAAAAAAAACATGGCAACCTAATATCCAAGAACAGGGTCATGTGTCAAACTGAAAAATTCAAAACATACCTCCTTCCTTCAATGTACCATGCGCTTCCCTCAATGTCAATATTTTGCTGGAAATTACCTTCCAACAACACCTGTGACTGCAAGCGTATCTTAATGTAATTATGACTGAGTGCGGCATCAAGATCCTTTTTGTTAGTATTCTCTGGTAAAGTGAAATGCACAGTCAGATCTTCCATAGATTGGAACCAGGTGTAGGCAGGAGCCTTCTTGTCTGGAAACACAAACAGGCCATGTTGTGCTGCCATCTATTTTTGTGAACATAAACTGAATATGGTTACATCTTACACACTGAATATGTACAGATGTCTGCATTTACTTTCAATGCTCAAAAATGGGGGGGGGGGGGACAACCTCAGCTTTTCCTTTCATATTCTAGACAACACTGGTATAAATATCCGGATTCTACAAAAGATCTTCCAAGTGAACATCTTACTTTCACCTTGGCAAGCTGAATTGCAACATCAAGTACGTCTTAACATACACAAAATTAACATACAAAGATGTAAATTTAATAAAATCCCCATTTCATACACAAATCCTTCACTTTTAAATCCATTTCTCACATAAAAAGCAGGAAATCATTTGAAGGGAAAACAATACAAATATTTACCTTCGCCTTTTGCCCTAGCGCTCTCCTTAACCTCGGCCTTGTCCACTGGCTTCACAGAATCATAAACAAAGGTGAAATGTTTTTCACTGCCGACAATCATGCCTCTGCCATGCTGCTCCAGAGTGAGGAAATCCGGAGCGCTCTTACCTTCCAGTCTTCTCACTCGTGTCAGTTCCCATACATTTGTTTCTGCGGCTAAAATTCAAGTTATAATGTGTGATTACTTTATCAATTTTGTCCCATGTTATCTAGTGGGATCCAGAACAAGGAGACTAAATAGATCAAATATACTACATGTATTTACATATATCAACAACAATAATCATTATAATAATAATGAAAATGAAAAAAATGCATGTAGTATTCAAAATGGATTTATTCTGTAGTTCCTTTCTACAATGGTAATTTGTTTTGAGAATAATATATATAAATAAAACAAATTCCAAACAAGTAAACAAATGCCAAAAACATAAATGAAATGAAAATTAATATCTACCAAATGTCAAAGTAAGCCACTCCAGAACTGATACAAAATCGCCCCCCTTAATCTCCTGCGCCTCCTCAAATGCCATGTCTCTCTCCTCAACATACAGTAGCGCCACCTCCAACATGTGACAGCCTTCTGCAGAAAGAAGAGAATGCACCACCTGGAAATTCTGGCCTTCTATTTCATGCCTGAATACCACCTAGTAGAAAATAATAAATTTACAATTAAAACCAAAAAAACCTATTAAAACAAAAATAAAGAAATTATATTTACTGGTCTGTTTCTCAAAAAAACTTACGTCAGTTCTCTAGCTTTGTTGGCTAGGACTTCCATGAGAGTGCTGTAACATTGTGCCTGATACGGTAAGATGTGTGCATGTGACCATGTAACCTTTGCAATTAAGTTCTTAGTCAGGGAACCTGACTTAATTTTTTTTGTGTGTGTGTGTTTGTGTGTGTGTGTATGTGAAACCAGGGCCTCATCAAGGAGAGGTACATTTTTTTTATACTTTTTTTTTTTTTTGGCTTGATTAACTGCAATAACAAAATCATATTAAAATATATATATATACGCCAATCTCGAAAACAAATTCAATAGATAGTAATAAATATAGTAGTAAAAGTTTGCAGAAATTCCACAGACTGTTCCCAAGTTTAGTTCTATATATAATGTACCTTCCACTCCTGGTCCAGCTTTCTGTCCCCTGTCCTCACGACATACAGCCTTCCTGCGCCATCGGCAACAGTGAGGACATCTGGCGAGGGGAAATGTAAGGAGACATTATGGCGGCCTGACTTGCTTCTCTGCTGGTCTGCGTCTGGCAGCCTTAGCACTGGCTCACCTTTGTTCAAACTGCTGGCCTTGGAAGTTTTAATTAATAAAATAATTATAAGACATGATGCCACTGTAGAAAATAACTACAGTGTATTATGTCTCACTGAAAGAACTGTTGTTCTTTCCAGAGGCAGATCCAGAGACATTTTCTGAGTCTTCCAAATTATCTTTGTTGATCCATCTTCCATTTTTGACTGTCTTCCGACAGAAAAAAATTAGATGCTCTTCAATGTAAACTTGAAAAAATTCTGACCATCTAGATGGGCTCAATTCGCTCCTGCTTTGTAGGGGATGCATACGATAAATGCACATAATAAGGTTTGCACTGCTTGGCATGTGGTGGATCCCATATTAAAAAATCTGCAGTTTCACTGGTACAAATGAGGGGCAAAGTTTTTGCCAAAGAAAAAGCAAAAAAAAGGACATCTGAAAGCTCATTGATTTGTGGGTTCAATATTCTAAAGAGCCAATGTTCTACAGAGGACTTAATCTAAGTTCATGCCCTACTTTTATGGTCTTATCATGGGATTTCATGCCATGGCCCTGTCTGTTACTTACATTGTTTGCTACAAACTTGACAATATCCCATCTACTGTTGACAAAGTAGACGGTGTTGGTGGCCCAGGGGTCTTGAAACAGGTGGTTGTGGATGCCAAATGCTTTCAGATGTTGCAGACTGTACTGTCCAGAAGTCAGTTTTACTTCATCTAGATCTGGAAAATATATCACTGTTGAAACTGAAAGTCCCTGCATTTAGAGTAACATACATGTAGCAGTGGCTAAGTAACTTTTGGAACCTGGGTAACATGGTGTGATTTGCCTTGTTGCCCCTCCCCCCCCCCCCCCCCACCCCCACCCTACATATATGTATCAGTCCAGTTTTTCTTGTTTTCAGTCTGTAAATTTTTTAAAGCAATAGAGTCAATACCTTTAGTTATGATCAGTTTTGGAGGGAAGAGGGGGTGGATGCTCTCATAAGTGATGGAGGATGGATCCCAACTCTTTCCCTTTGCCTCCTTCACATGCACAGTACTCTGCATGGAAAACCCGGGAGTTAAATTTCAGGCCTCTAGCTTACGTAGTTAGAAAAGTAGGTGTGGACATCCTAGTACTGAATGTAGTAAGTAACAGTAAGTACCTGTACACGAAGCAGGGTTAACAAGCATGGCTACCTCTAGCAGTATGTGAAGTGTGTACAGTAGATCACTTTCCCCATAATAAGCTTACCAAATTCAATGTTACTAGTGTACACTGGGATGGCGTCTAGGGATAGTTTGTATCCATCAAAATTTGGGTCAATTAAAGCGCGATCTACTTTCATATCCGTCAATGTGTCTGCCATGCTGACGTTTTGTACTCACAACTCTAAAGAGCGCAACGTGACAGACTTCCAAGAGGAGCCAGCATTGGAACATGCTTCATTTTTCCAAACTGTGTATACATGTCTCAAAAAATAAATAAATAAATAAATAAATAATAATAATAATAATAATAATAATAATAATAATAATAATAATAATAATAATAATAATAATAATAATAAATAAATAAATAAATAAATAAAATAAAATGAATAAAAAATAAGCACTGGCATAGAGACAGTATATGATATTTTCCTCATCTCAGATAATTTTCTCTTTCCTCGTTAGAATGCTGAGTAAAAACTTGAGGAATGCACCCATACGTTTACTTGGGTAGAGGCATACACCCCATTTCCATAGATTAGATCAACCTACTTTAGATCGACCTAACTCCCTGGGGGTTCACGCTAAATAGCTGTCAGCCGGGCGGACACGAAAGTTAATTACCCCCTTACAGCTTGTAGTAGGCGGGACGGACATTTAAGTCGGATTATCTGAAAGTAATCTAGTGAGACTCCCCGCGGGGATAGATCGATCTAAAATCTATGGGAATAGAGCCATAGAGTTACGAGTAGTGCATATGGAGTATGGTTGAGCTTGCAACTGGATTAAATGGTTGTTCGGAAACAACCGAAAAATTCTTGAGAACACAAAGAATCTCGTGGGCTGTAGTTGCTCTACGGGACCATTTATGAACATATGAACGAATGTCAAACAAGAAAAAAAAACAACAACAGATTTTGAAACAGCAGAGCATATAATGGTTAAGCTACTTTGAGGTAAGCCTGCAATTAACGTTCAACATAAATAACCCTATAAAAGCGCGTCATTGTAATAAAACCTTTAAAAGTAGTACGAAAGGATAGAATAAAAAGTTTAAGACTTCGTTAAAAAGGAACACGGCTGAAGGATAAAAGCAACATAAATTTTAAAAGTGATGTCTGCTACCCTCATAGTAGGGCCTACATGTATCAACTCGTCATGCAAGCGTTACACCGGGTTATTGAAGTTGACGCTTATCCTCCATCTGTATTCTAAAGCAACTGAACATTTTCCCTCCTCCCTAGACAGGGTAGTTATCTCTGGTCTATCACGGGTTACTTCCCAGTTCATTTTGTCAGAACATAAACAGTGCCAATTTATGCACTCATTTATGAAGAGAGGTAGGCTACAGTAGGCCTACTACAGGGTGTTGGTGCTCGGTGACAAGTGAGGGATATGGTATAGTATCAGTACCTAATAAGGCCGCATTTACAACCAGTTGATCCGTGAACTAGCTAGTCCCCAGATCAAACATGGCTCGCACTTGGCAATTGATTCCCGCCTGCCAAGTGCGCCGCCACAACAGGGCCAGAGCATTTTAATCTCAGAACCGAAATTTAATCCATTTAATTGCTAGGACCCTGCAAGTCTGGCGCGTGTGGTCGGCGCAGAGACCATTAGGGGGCTAGCGGCATCGCTTTCAAGTGGAATCAGCTAGCCCGTGGATCATCTGTTCTGAAAGCGCCCAAAGAATAAACAGCGAAGCAAGCAAAGCCACCTCCCAATGTCAGTCTACATCTACTGATCTCCAGCACGTGATCCCCTTGCCAACCTATTGAGGCACGTGTAAAATGTCGAGGACGACAAAGAAAGAGAACAAACCAAGAGTTAAATCAATTAGCTATTCTACCCCATTGCCGTACGGCTGGATGGTAGCGATTTTTTAAGGTCATGTGCTACGTGATTTGCCTATCTACAACTTAGATATGTAGATCAGCACGCAAAGTACTTTCTGTTAGGGCTACTGTTATTTTTGGAAAAATACCCCAACTAGAGGGCATAAAGAGCATTTGCATTTTTTAGTGTCACAGTAAATTGAAATTTGAAAATGAATGCATATGATATATTTAGTACAAATGAGCTCGACAAAGAAACATTTTGACAGAGATTAAGTACAGAAGCTCAAAACTAATTTATTTTGTGCATTATTTGGATGTACTGGAACTGGTGAAGATGAAAATAACAAGATAACTATCAGACATCAAGGAAAACTGAAAGTCGGTTTTAAAAGATTGTTTCTCTCTAAATATTCACTTCCTGCGTCTTGAAATAATTCTCAATTTATTAGTAGATTATAGATCTAAAAAAAGTAAAAAATAAAATCACACAAAATATAAATTATTTGTATCGAACGATTAAATTCAGTGTATGGAGTGTCCAATTGAATTTCTAAAATACGCCAACAGGAAAATTTAAAAAAAATTACATCATAAACTTGAGGGAAGAGCACATTAAAACGTTTATAGTGTTTCACATAGAAAAGAAACCAGGAAAATATGCCAATGCTCCATGCTAATGAAGTACTTAAAATTATGAAGAGAAAACAGCCTCGCGGCATCTGCGTGATCTGAAGTGACGTCAACAGGGTCGTGCGCAGGTGTGCAGGGCGTAAAACTTCAACGTGAAATCACATAGCCAGCACCTGACCACGATACGATATAAGTAGCGCCGCCGAAGAATCGATCATCAGTCTCTGTTGGGCAAACGCAGGCTATCTCATCGAATGAAAGTCAGGTAAGAATAATTCATGAGTTTACGTTGGCATTCATTGGAGGGAATGCAATGTACATGTAAATATCAGTGCTAGTGCAACACAAGTGCTACGCGGCATGTTACACTGGTGTTAACTCGGGCTTCAACGAGGAGGTAGAAATTAACGATCAACGTGTTAACATCGCCTGTCTCCGACTTAATTTCTAACTTTTCAGTTCCTGCACAAACTTTTAAAGGTTTACATTTGGTGACCATAGGTATATACGCTTTCAAAAATTTGTGTATGAATTGCAAAGTTAAAACTTTATTCAGCATGATTGGCAATACTTCACAGATTAACTTACGTCAGAGTGTTATCATCGTGCTTATGTTATGTTTCTATGTATGTAAATTTCTTAAAGCAGTTTTGATTGAAATAATAGCCTTTGGATACGGGGCATAAAATGAAGCTGGTCGAAATATTATTATAAAGCAAACGCCAAATGATAATGCGATAAAAACACTAGAAAACCACCCAGAGAGGGCAAACTTCCGCCAGTGCAAGACAAATGATTAACTATTAATCTATCAAATGATCACCACCAAAATGTAATAACTTTTAAGTTAGCACATTTATGACCTATCCTGTGAGTCTCATCAAAATCCGCATATAACTTATAGAGTTAGGCTGATAATGAACAAACAAACAAACGGAGGCGAAAGCACATGCACACCATAACATAAAAAGACGGTTTTAACTACATCTTCAAGTTACAAAAAAGGCAATATTAAAGGTATAATAACTCTTCGTTTCGGCCAAAAAATGAATTTTCCTGGAGTAAACAACAATTTTCCCTTACTTACCAATGGTTAATGAATCCATTTTTATATTCAAAGTTAGTCCCTGTTTTTTTTCTAAAAAGTATGTTTTTTTGTTAAAATCTCTCAAGAGATTTTAACAGAGTATAGCCATCAATGGAGGTCACATGGTCTAAAGCCAGGTTCAGATATCAGAATAATAGCTATAACTGCCATTTTTGTGGTAAAACAGAATATATTATATTTCTAGGAGTTATTCACAATGTTTTTTATTGTGAAATATAGATCTCATACGAAGAGTTATTATCCCTTTAAGGGGTATCGGTACATTATAAAGGCCCACGTCACTTGACAAAATAACGTTTAGGAGATCGAGCCACTAATAACGATGATCCACTTAATAACAACATTATTTCGACTCTTTGATGAAAATCAGATGTAAACTTTTCAAGAAATCTTAATGGCATTAGATTGTGGTGCTTATTGTTGTGATTAAATATGCGTTTGTGGTTGGTGGTTGTTGGTCTGAAGGAGATCTGTTTGAAAGCGATCGTCCAGAGGCGGGTCATTCAGTTAATCTGATGCATTCAGTCAGAGTCCCGCAGGGGCGGATTTAGGCCGTCTTCACGGTCTTCCGGAAGACGGTCAGAATTTCAAGTCTTTTCAAGATTTTATATAGACGGGTATCTAACTTTTTCTGTCGGAAGACGGTCAAAAATGAGGATGGATCAACAAAGATAATTTGGAAGACTGACAGAAAATATCTCTGGATCCGCCCCTGGACTCAGTTGGATCGACCTACTGAGTACGATGGTTTCAATGGGAATAAGCCCTGAGCGGATAAATAAAAAAAAACCTAACACACCGATCTTCCTTACTGCAACATTAGGCTTTGCCCCACCCGAAAGGTGAATTGTTGACTAATGAAGCCGAAAAACATATTTTTAAGTAATGAAGTATTGGCTATACACTTCAGCCTATTTTCGTTACCACCAAAACACGCAAGATCAATAAGTCCTACGATATAAAGAGACCCCTTTAAAAATTAACAATAATAATAATGATTTAATTTTAAAAAACCCTATTCATGTGGCTGAGCGAAGTTTACGCTGGGTTGAAAAGTGAGAAAAAAGTTAACATCGCAAAGTAACTGTTGATTTACTCGGATGACACTATTCCACCACTCTATATGTAAAAATATTAGAAGAAGTTCTTCGTTAGAAATAATAATATAACGGTAGATAATCAATATATACGAAGGGCTCTTTGTTTGTTTATTAATGACAAACCCATTTGAAATATTCCTTGTTGATTTGAGCAGAGCATGTTTTATTTATTTAATTATTTCATTTTTGATAAAATTTAAATAGGCTGATTAAATTCTTTTAAGGCTTTCAAATTTCTAATGTCATTATCAAGCTTATTCCATAAAAGTATATAGCTCGGGCCCATAGATTAAAAAGCCTTTGTGTTTGCCACCTGGCAAATATAACTGCTCTTTGGTAGAAGGCTGGTTTGTCTTTCTGTAACAGTAGATAGTTCATTTTTAAATAAATCACTCACGTACTTAGGTCTTAAACCATGTTGATGTATAAAAGGATGTATATAGAAAAGACAGGAGACGCCGCATTTACGTCTTGGAATAAACTTGAATTCAGTTTTATTGCGATCAGAAGTAGATGGGAATATTTAATCAACGTATTAGCATTCATTGGTTTAATTAGAAGTAATAACACGAAACCAATAAGGTAATTAAATAACTCAAAGTAATAAAACCACGCATTACCCCCCAAAGTACATCAATAAAACAAATGACTCGAATTTGAAAAGCATTTATCGCTGTTTGAGGTATGAATTAGTTTAAACAGTCTTTGGTCTACATGCCCGCAATCACATATAGGAAGAATAAAAGCGTGACAGGTCAAATTTTTATCTACCACGGCCACAGAAAGAATTTTGTTTTCTAGATATTCACAGGTATTGTTCTGACCTTTCATTGGCTGTGCGCCTTTCTGCTCTGTGAGTGACCTTGTGCTGAAATGTAAGGTCTATAATTACAGGTTATATTAACTGGTATTACATAACCAACCAGGGCCCCGTAATATTCGAAAGCATCGGGCATTAAGACCGAGCGCAAGCGTCTCGATTCCATAACTCGCCCATACTCGCCCCATATAATACATTGTAGCCTCTAACACCCCATTTCCATAGATTTTTAGATCGATCTATCCCNCACACCGATCTTCCTTACTGCAACATTAGGCTCTGCCCCACCCGAAAGGTGAATTGTTGACTAATGAAGCCGAAAAACATATTTTAAGTAATGAAGTATTGGCTATACACTTCAGCCTATTTTCGTTACCACCAAAACACGCAAGATCAATAAGTCCTACGATATAAAGAGACCCCTTTAAAAAGTTACAATAATAATAATGATTTAATTTTAAAAAACCCTATTCATGTGGCTGAGCGAAGTTTACGCTGGGTTGAAAAGTGAGAAAAAAGTTAACATCGCAAAGTAACTGTTGATTTACTCGGATTACACTATTCCATCACTCTATATGTGAAAAAAAATTGAATTAGTTTTTCGTTAGAAATAATAATATAACGGTAGATAATCAATTTATACGAAGGGCTCTTTGTTTATTTATTGATTACAAACCCATTTGAAATACTCCTTGTTGATTTGAGCAGAGCATGTTTTATTTACTTAATTATTTCATTTTTGATAAAATTTAAATAGGCTGATCAAATTCTTTAAAGGTTTTCAAATTTCTAATGTCATTATCAAGATTATTCCATAAAAGTATATAGCTCGGGCCCATAGATTAAAAAGCCTTTGTGTTTGCCACCTGGCGAATATAACTGCTCTTTGGTAGAAGGCTGGTTTGTCTTTCTGTAACAGTAGATAGTTCATTTTTAAATAAATCACTCACGTACTTAGGTCTTAAACCATGTTGATGTATAAAAGGATGTATATAGAAAAGACAGGAGACGCCGCATTTACGTCTTGGAATAAACTTGACTTCAGTTTTATTGCGATCAGAAGTAGATGGGAATATTTAATCAACGTATTAGCATTCATTGGTTTAATTAGAAGTAATAACACGAAACCAATAAGGTAATTAAATAACTCAAAGTAATAAAACCACGCATTACCCCCCAAAGTACATCAATAAAACAAATGACTCGAATTTGAAAAGCATTTATCGCTGTTTGAGGTATGAATTAGTTTAAACAGTCTTTGGTCTACATGCCCGCAATCACATATAGGAAGAATAAAAGCGTGACAGGTCAAATTTTTATCTACCACGGCCACAGAAAGAATTTTGTTTTCTAGATATTCACAGGTATTGTTCTGACCTTTCATTGGCTGTGCGCCTTTCTGCTCTGTGAGTGACCTTGTGCTGAAATGTAAGGTCTATAATTACAGGTTATATTAACTGGTATTACATAACCAACCAGGGCCCCGTAATATTCGAAAGCATCGGGCATTAAGACCGAGCGCAAGCGTCTCGATTCCATAACTCGCCCATACTCGCCCCATATAATACATTGTAGCCTCTAACACCCCATTTCCATAGATTTTTAGATCGATCTATCCCTGTGGGGAGTCTCACTAGATTACTGTCAGCTTGGCCGGCTTAAGCGTCTGTCCCGCCTACTAAAAGCTGTAAGGGGGTAATTAACTATGGTGCCCGCTCGGCTGACTGCAATTTAGCGTGAACCCCCAGGGAGTTAGGTCGATCTAAAACTTAATCTTTAGATCGATCTAAAGCTCTGGGAAAGCACCCTAAGTGATATCGCTATTCGCAATACGCGATGCTTTCGAGTCACGAGGCCCAGACGTTCTACCTCTGAGAGCGATTAAGACAGTTCTCACCTGGCCTTCCCTGCTAGACCCTTGTTAATAGCTTATGGTGTTGTGCAGCAGAATAATATTAATTGAAAATATTTTCTGCAGTACAATAGCAGGAGTGGTGATAATAAATTATGTGAAAAAATGTATTTTGACAAATGCAACATAGCTATGTGTGTTCAAAGTTTCCGACCGCACAGTGTCCCATGGCGGCGTTCTAAAGCGATCTGATTTTTTACTATTCCTTTTACCTTTAATCTTGAGGGGAATACAACGAACATAGGATAAAATTAGGACCCAATGTTCAATATTAAGTCCTAGGATGGAGTAAGCCGCTGTAAGGTGAGAGAGACTCCCATGATAGAGAGTCCGCTTCCCATTCATTTGCACAGGTAAGCTTTGACCTAGATTTTGACCAACTTAGGACAGGCTAACAAGGCCCGTAGCCGGTGGGGGGGGGGGGTTCGAAAAAAAAAAACCTTCTTGCCAGGAAAAAGGTCCAATATGGGTAATATTATATATTGGTACACGAAGGTTTCATGGTGAAAGGTTCACTTTTTCAGAAAAAAGCCCCCTTTTGAAATTGCTGGCAACGGGCCTGTTGAACCCAAGTTACACGGGCCCTCAATTTCATTACACCGGCAGTACTGACATACAACCAAAGAAGCAGCTTTTGTTCTGTCGCTTAAGCTGACATTGTTTCTTTTGAAGATATATCGCTTTTATAGAAAATTTTGAAATGAACTAAGACATGGATGGTAAACAATGGATGGGTAAGTTTATTCTAATCTTGCGATTATGATATACTACTTTGATATTTTTGTTCACTAGAAGAGACAACTTGTTGTCCATCTTAGGCTTCAACACAATAACTTTTTTTGTCAAAAGCTTTCCTGAAGTCAAAACAAAACTTTGCTGTATGCATATTTCTCTGTCTATCATATAACAAAGTATCAGACTATCAACGAAATCACCAGATGTACGGTACATGTAGTCGAGATCATGTGGATAGATGGATGTTTTTTTACTTTTTTGCCAAAAGCCCCTCGTTGTTGACTGTTTAAGTGACATGTGCAGATGTGCCAAGTTGTAGCTTTTTCACGTCCAAAAGTTGAGCCACCTCGGGGCGGGTAATGAAGGTACATTGTACATGTAGTTTCCCTTCGGAGAGACATTCCGAAACGTTCTTGCATGCTACGGGACAAGATGATAAATAATAGGAGTATATCATTCGATAGCCCCTGGATGTTTTTGGCAGTATTTAAATTAAATCCCCACTGTCGGTGATAAGTCTTTCAAAGATTTGTCATTTTTGCGTATGAAGCGCACCCTTGGAGAGCCATGGCGCGGCTTCAAAACATTCGCGTTCTATACGTAAGGTCAGTTTGTGTACAGTGTACATGCAGTAAAAGTCAAACGGTGTTTATTGCTATTAATTTGTGAACACTCACGAGATAATAGAGTAACCAACCAAAAAAAATTAACGATATGAAAAGAGAGAAAACTAAAAATTAATATCGCCAGTTTGAGGATTTAACATAAAAAGTGCGCTTACTTCTTGTGTGGGTTTGATTGTTAGTTCTAGTTGTAGCTCTTCTATAATAAAGACGATTTGATTTTTTGGCCTACTTTCGAACATGAAGGCGGTTACTGAACTACGCGCAGGGTACTAAGTAAAACTATAGTCGCTTTGTCCTTTTTTTTAAAACTGATTTTGATTTATACGGCAGACATAAAGTGTCATTCACCAACAATGAATAGCCTTAAAACACATGGCATGAACATATGTCCTATGCAAACTTAGCCCTAACTTTAGTTCATTACAAAATGCTCGCCATCCAAATGATCGTCAAACGACCACGATTCATTAAATTTCATTCTGTGTAATGTCCTTAATATCTTTGATTAGTACATCACAGTGCCGTATGTAGATCGAATAGCTGGAGGCATGTTTTATTCAATTATGTACTTAGTATGCCCTAGATGAAGAAGAGAGGTCATTAGTTAGATAATCAATGAAACACACACACGCTCACACACACTGTAAAATAACATAGATATCATGAAAAAGTTTAAATAACAATGGGTTGAGCCTTCATATTTAGCTTATTTTTTATAAATTATTTTTAATTCTTGTTAGTAGGCCAAGTTCTCCTGGCCTTTGGCCAACGGCTTGATCACAAACAACAGGTCAGTCGGCAACGTACATGTAGTCCTACGTTCATATCAATTACACTTTGGAGGTTGGGGAGCTGAAAACATTTTCATCATGTCCAAGAAATGAAAAGTAGAAAAGATGGATTGCATTAATGAATGAATAAATGAAGGAAGAGAAAGGGAATGAGTGAAAGAAATAGAGAAAAAGTGGTAAACAAATATAAAAAGCTTTTGCTTTTGTGCACCCCTTCATACATCTTAAAGAGCATTCACATCGAGAAGAGCCGAGGTCTAGCAAGGCCGAGACCTAAATATGGCGGACCTACATGAAAGGAAGACCGCTTAATCCTTTAATGGTCTCTCAATGACATTCATTGACATTCATTGAGAGACCATTAAAGGATTACGCGGTTTTCCTTTCATGTAGGTCCGCCATTTTTAGGTCTCGGCCTTGCTAGACTTCGGCTCTTCTCGATGTGAATGCTCTCTTATACACATGTATCTGCCAGAAAAAATTTGGTCGGCACCAATGATGCAAAGTTAATGGTCAATAAACAACGCTTAGGTGCATATGTATGTAATGCATAATGGACATTTTGAACACGGTAAGATTCTGTGGTCAGGTTTAATGGTAAAGCAAAGGTGAAGGGTTGGTTTTTATAGCCTCGACAAATGGGGTCAGTGGGCAAACCATCTACGGTTACATGTAGGTAGGGCTCTTCGCCTTGAGGAGCACACAATCCATGCTGCAGCATGTTTGGCTCTTGTGATTATCATTTATAATTACCATCACGGACAGTATCAGTTCTGTACGCCTACTCTCTGACAACAGGGTGCGCTAGTAGTCTGTCACAAAATTATTGTGTCGCACCCTGTGCGATTTCGAGCAATCAACAGGAACGTCTTTGAATTTGTCAGTGGTTCAGTAGCGCAAATGTCTGTCTATGTTACGTAGTGCAAGTCAAGCATGACCTCTGACTTACTGTACTCCAGATGCCCAGTTGGTTGATTCCATCCGACACCCAAAATTAGCCCCCTCTGCTGCTGAGTCACCGTTTAAGGCTTCGTTCACATGCAATGTCTATTTTCTAAAAATCTATTTTCTATTAGCGCTATCTTATGATCACGGTCTGTGCCCTGAATATCCCGCCGCGTAATTACTGGCAGCGCGAGCCAGTTACTTATAGTAACTTATAGTAACTGGCTCGCGCTGCCAGTAATTACGCCGCGGGATATTCAGGGCACAGACCGTGATCATAAGACATACCGCGAATAGAAAATAGAATTTAGAAAATAGACATTGCATGTGAACGAAGCCTAAGGGGCTGGTAGGAGTGGGTAGTTACATAACACCAGTCAAACTGGATGTTTTCCCACAGGAGGTCACATTTCAATTTTGTATATTATTTTAGAAGCACCCTGATATCAGAGGGTATGTACCCCCAGTTTTACTATTTATGAACTGAGAGCGCATTCAGAACAGCCGACTAACAGATCCGCGGATCAAATATGGCGACCCACTAAAAAGCTTGTCGGTTAATTCCCGAGTAGACACTGAATGGATTCCCTGCAGGGATTAGGCAAAAAGCATTCAAGTGGGTCGGCCATATTTGATCCGCGGATCTGTTAGTCGGCTGTGCTGAATGCGCTCTGAGTGTTCAGCGAGACGGGCGGTACTATGGAAAATTGACCCACGCTCTCTCTAATCATATCTATTTATACAGATAAATGGACAAATGCGATAGACCGGAAAGTATTTTTTTCTGTACCGTTTGATTAGGTGCACATTTTTCATCTTTATTGGTTGCCTTTCGGTGAAAGTTGGGATCTTACTGTAAATTATCTGCAAACTGGACGATAAGTGTCTAGAGGCTGTAGAGCACCTGCATGTGTAACCATCCCGGAATGTGTTTACAGGGGGATGTAAATAATAACAAAATGATGACCAAGTATACTCAATATAATACTAAAAATAAAAAAAAATATTACTCAGCGCCAATCCCGAAAAGAAAATGTGTTGAATAAAATTAAAGGGATAATAGCTCTTCGTATGAGATCTATATTTCACAATAAAAACATTGTTAACAACTCATAGAAATATAATATATTCTGTTTCACCACAAAAACGGCAGTTATAGCTATTATTCTGATATCTGAGCTTGTCATCAGACCACGTGACCTCCATAGATGGCTATACTCTGTAATAATCTCTTAAGAGATTATAACATAAAAAAAACTTTTTAGAAAAAAACCAGGGACTGTAGAAAAGTATGGGGAAATTGTTGTTTACTCCGGGAAAATTCATTTTTTGGCCAAAACGAACAGTTATTATAAAAGAATGGCGTGAAAGAAGGAAGGGAAGGAAATTTAATGAGCTGAGCAAAAAAGGAGAACGCTTGTTAGAAACAAATTTGCATGCACTATTATTGTCGAAAAATATGACAAACGAAAGGGAATGGAAGAAAATTAACGCGGAAAAACATATTGTCCGTCGCTTTTGGACTCTTTTTAAAAGACATACTTTTTGGATGTTTTTTTTTTCGAAGTTTTCCGATGAGGCGCTTGGCACCCCTGTATTTCCTGTTGCTAAACCCGTTTAACCTGAAATGATTTTCAAGTACTCTGACTACAGAGAGTGGGGTAGCAAGGATGCAGTGGACATGTTATTAAAGATTGTCACAGGCGCAACTCCCCTTGTTTCAGCATACTTTATAAAATTCAGTATTTCAGCCAGTTCTCTTAGGCCTATGGTGTTTAAATTTCCAAGGATAAATTCGCCATAATTACTGATACAGCGCATGCCGCAAAGACTAATATGGACTTCACATAGTCAGAGATCTGGTGCACGCACACACACACACACACACACACACACACACACACACACACATTGGTGATTTGTTCATGATTTAGAGATAGTAACATATGATACAGCTGATATATCTCTAAATCATGAACAAATCACCAATGAAATCGTCCTTTACTCAGGGGCGGATCCNGGGGGGGAGGGTGGGGGGGGACAGGACTCCCCTGACCCCCCCTCTAAATCCGCCACTGCTTACTGCAATCGACACCTGTGTGATCATGGAGTTCTTCGGTCGTACATTCGCCCTTTAAAAAGCCAAAAATATTTATCGTCCAACGTTTTTATCTTTCTTTTTTATCCAACCAAACAGTAGGCCTATTTGTTATTCATCGCCACGCGCGCACTTCTGTGACACAAAAGTTTGCGATAGACTTACGGTGTGTTTCTAAAGTATTATTCAATTGATGCGTCTCTACTAGTGGGGTATTAACGTGCTGTAACCGACTATTGCCTCCTATCTAACATCTCATCGATACCAGTCTAAGATTCCGTTCGAAATAGAATACATTATGACCGTTAAAAAGTATCAGAATTTCCCCAAAAACGACATTATTTAACTATATTATTCCCTTATCACTGACTGAAGTCATAAAACAGGTAAAGCATTTTATGGGGGTGAAATCGGTCAGATTTTTCTGCACAATTAAAGACAAAATGTGTTACGTTAATGACGCTATGGCGAGATGTTTACCTCGCCAGAGTCGGGTATGGTCCGTCCTCCTGTCTATAGATTTTCTGTTTTTTTATCATTTATTGTTTAATATCTAATGCCACGTAAATGAAAAATTCTGAGACCTGATTTTCACACTGTGTTTATATTCTCATGTGGCTCAACAAAGATATCAACAAAATAACGTTTGAATAACGTTCTCTTTTTCAGACTTTCCTGATACACGACTCTGTGTGATCCCAGTGGTGACGACGGCACAATAAGACCAGATATGCTTTTGCGTTAAGTTGTGAGACACCAGTAATTAAAGCCTAGAGCAACTGAAATTGATAAAAATCTGATGCTAACAGTGTCGCAATTGGGAGACGCCAAAGACAGTTGCGCTTAGCACTATGTGACATCAGATACAGCTTTACTGAGAAAATTGTGTCGTTACATCGACTGACGTATTGAAAACGGTGCCGTGGGAGTCCTCTAAACCTGAAAGCATCGACTCCTGAGACCAGCATGGGACTGGGTGAACAAATCAACGGGCACGCCACAGCTGTCAAGGACATTGAAAATGTACGCCGTCATGTCATAGAAAATGTCCAGAGATGATGAATGATTAAACCTTTATCTTATATTAATTCAGGAATAAGTATCCTGAAACATGAGCATACAATAAATAAATAAAACATAAATTGCATATCTCCTATGGCAAAAATCATGCCAACGTCAATACCGACGCCGCGCAAGTTAACGTCCGCTTAATATTCAACTCCATGCTTTTACGAATTCTATAAGTGAAATAATGTCGTCTTTAACATTTCTTCTTCAGGGCGCACCTCCGGTACCTGCCGCAGACAGCAGAGCGGCGTCGCCATCTTGTGGTTGCTGCGTCCGGAAAAGACCATTCAATCTCAAAGTTTTCGTTAAAAAATATTTTCTAGAAGGTATATAGTCTTTTTCACGAAGAATGCGTATTTGATAACCTTTTTTTTTTTCAAATACCCTTGTGGCCACACTGCTTTATGCGATTAAGGAGATGTAGTTAATCAGTAACAAATACGGAACGCACAGTTTTCGAAATGCCCATCTAAGGCTGTATTCCCAGAGCTTTTAGATCGATCTATCCCTGCGGGGAGTCTCACTAGATTACTGTCAGATAATCCGGCTTAAATGTCCGTCCCGCCTACTACAAGCTGTAAGGGGGTAATTAACTTTCGTGTCCGCTCGGCTGACAGCTATTTAGCGTGAACCCCCAGGGAGTTAGGTCGATCTAAAGTAGATCGATCTAATCTCTGGAAATGGGGTCTAAATATGCTGAGAGGCAGCATTTGGCATTTTGATGCAAAATACGTCCTCTTTTCTTAAACTTAGCGAACAATGTTCTAGAATTTGCAGACCGTCACATTTCAATATCCCAACTCATATAGCAATGAATGTACGTTTTAAAAACCAATCAATTTCCTTGATATGGCTTTCAGGGCAGCATCTCCTACCAGCCCAGGAGGAAGCTCTGAGGTCTCTCCCACACGATGCCAAGTGGTACAAGAAGATGTTTGTCCGGCACAGACGCGTCGTCGGGGTGGCCATTCCGGCCACAGTCATCATCTTTGCCTGGCTTTCTATTATGATCCGATATGACTACTGGAACCTGTTTCCGGAGAAATATTACATGTCCATAACTATGGTGTTTGGGTCCCTGGTTGCAGGTAACATTTGTGTTCTTACTTTGAGACCCTGACTAGATTTTATTAGCTTAAAGGGATAATTACTGTTCGTATGGGATTCATATTTCACAATAAAAACTGTAAATACATGTAACTCATAAAAAGACAATTGACCCCATTTTACCACCAAAACAGCAGTTATCGCAATTATTCTGGAACCTGTGCTTGCCATCAGACCACGTGGACCTTCATATATGGTTATACCTCCGTCATAATCTAATAAAAAATTATTACAAAAAACCAAATGTTCTATTATATCTCCAGGAATGACAAGCGAAGGTGGGGGTGCGGTTGCGTTTCCCGTAATGACTCTTGCGTTCAGTATCTCCCCAGCCGTTGCCAGGGACTTCTCATTGGCCATCCAGTCCGTCGGGATGACGGCGGCCGCCTTCACCATCATCTACATGAAGATTCACCTGGAATGGCACGCCATACTTCTCTCCTCTGTCGGCGGTGTTGCGGGCATTATCATTGGGCTGGAGTTCGTCGATCCGTATTTGACGCCGGCCCAGAAGAAAATCAGTTTCGTTTGCATCTGGTTCACGTTTGCCTTCGCTCTTTTTTCACTGAACATCAACCACAAACGACGCACCTTTCCTAAAATCCCGATATTCAACTTGTGGAAAGCATTGGTATTGGTTCTCACTGGCTTCGCGGGCGGCATTTTCACATCCTTTGCAGGAAGCGGGCTGGATATCTGCAGCTTCAGTATCCTCACCCTCCTGTTCCGCGTCAGCGAGAAGACTGCCACGCCCACTTCCATCGTGCTGATGGCGGGAAATACAGTGGCGGGCCTGTTTTGGAGGAGCGTCATCATACGCGGTGTTGCCATTGACTGCTGGCAGTACGTTGCCGTCTGCGTCCCCGTGGTCATCTTCGGTGCTCCCCTGGGCTCCGTGATAGGAAGCCATTTCCACCGCTTGGTCCTCGCGGCGCTCATCTACGTCCTTGACACGGTGGCCTTGGTGGCCGCCTTCGCCATCGTGCGTCCTCTCACTCTAGAACTTATCCTCATAGCTGTTGGAATCATCATATTTGGTGCCGTCTTCTTTTTCTTGGTTACGAAAGCTGGCGCGCTGCTGCTTCAGGGCGTTGAAACGACGGAGAGTAAAGCACTCCAGGAGACAGATCTGGGGGAGGAAAACGCAGTGAGTAGTCTTACTGACGAAAAGGCAAGAGAAGCAGAGGTGATCAAGTCAGGCGAAGATAGCGTTAAGATAGAGGAAGTTTTTAAAGAGCAAGAACGCAAGGACGTCGATTTCGGAAGTACTACAAAAGAGGCCGAGTTAGGCGACGGTAACTCGAAGAGCGGTGCTGTAGATGAAAGCACGGATCTCTGAGGTGAAGAAATGAAAGGGAGGAATGAGGCAACATGCCAGTGTTAGGGTTGTTGTTAAAACAGTTTATTGGGTGAATACAAGTAAAGGGATATTAACTTTTGCTTAAAATCATACCACTGAATAGAACGTTGGTACTACAATTTTTTATTTAACAGTCATTTAACGTATAGGGGCGAATTTCTCCAAGAGCACAACGTACATTATTTATTCTCTTTTCTTTCTCTTTCCGAAAGCCCAACAGATTCCTGGCCCATAAATTCATTAAATTTATAAAAAACGTTACCATTAATATCAAAGTAAAAGGTATTTACGCCTCAGTGCGCCGATGGGCATTGGAAACTCATACTGGCGTATACTGGAAGCTTCATGCGGATAGTAAAGAGGTAAGTTTCCAGTGAATGTGTTCTCAGGAAACTCAGAGGGACCAGGCTTTGAATCTTATTTTTTTTTATTTGCTGCGCAGTTCATATCATTACCATCTGAGGCGAAACTTTCAAATTTACCTAGAGCATCTTTGCACTATATAGTAACAAAGACATACATATTTTTTACATATTATTTCTATACAGTGACTTAAACATGCAATATTGTTACTACAGAGCAATTTTACTCTATACTAGAGATCAGCTGAGTAATGGCAAAAATTCTATGCAAAAATTCTCGCTAGACCTCTATCATGGCTATGGCTTCTAGCCAGATGATTTGTCCACAAGCAAACGCTTTTGCCTCGTGCAGCAGGACCGTAGCCAGGGGGGGTTCGGAGGGTGCGAAAGAACCGCCCCTTTTTCTGGGAAAAGGTCCACTTTTTCAGAAAAAGAACCCCCCTTTTGAAATTGCTGGCTACGGGCCTGTGCAGCCAACAACATCGCGTAGTGTCTTGGTACTAAACGCTCGTTACGGTCGTTACGTAATCTGTCTTAGCTTATCACTGGCTTATATATATATATTTGTATCTGGCAAATGAGTCACGTGGTTAGGAGCTTGCTCGGCTGTTACCTTGATTGTATAATGGACCGAACACATCCGAGTCACATATCGACATAACATTGAATATCCAGTGAAAAATTGTATGCGTCTCGATGTTGAAGGTTCACTTGTCCGAATTTTTAAAAATTTTTATCAGACTTTGAATAAAGGCTTTGTTAGTCCTAGATTCGATAGTCCGAAAATTGGAAGTGTAGGCCTACCTGGTCCGAAGGTCCATTAGTACCAAATTAAAGTCCTATAGACGGAAATTTAACTTTTTAACATGTTCATTTATCTGAGGGTTTTATTAACATGAATAAAGGGATCATAAAGATTAATTTACTTTAACTCAGCACCTACAAATACTGTCTAAACATAATTTAATCATATAATTGAGTATTTCAACTATGCCAGCGAAGTTAAGATTTTATACAACATTGGTCAAAAAGGTTGTCCCACCTCCAGTATCATGTGTTTTTATTTATAAATGGTTACATCACAGGTGAAAGATGTTATAAATAGTGATTTCATTCCAGAAACCATAACTAACATGATTAGTGACTCGTGACCTTTAACGAGCACACCCTAATGCTAAACGTGTGTAAATTTGGTGACATTTGGTGGTATCTTTTCAATTTAAAGGGCATTTTTTTACCTCTGTGGTAATGACAGTGATGTAATAAATGTGAATAAATGGTATTAAATATGGATATATTCACCGCTAGTTTGTACTTTCTGTACCACTCATCATGTTAGTTATTGTACCTGGAATGAAAATCACCATTCATAGCAATTAACTCTGTGATGTGATCATTTATAAATAAAAGCACGTGAAACTGGGGTTGGGACGATGTTGTATAATAAGGCAATATCATGCCACGCTTGGATAAAAAACACGTTCTAAGACGCCTGCAAGTCCCATTACAAAACATTTAAACCACATTGTGATGACATAGGATTGCTGACACCCACGTCAAGTTTCGTGATAAAATCACGTTCATATGACAGGCCACTTCCGATACCGATTGCTATGGGCATGTTCAGAATTAGTTGATCCGCGTACTAACTTGATCGCCTCCTCCCACGTGCGCTGTATCTGCGGAGCAGTTAAATCTCGACATGCTTTCATGTGGGTCAACTGGTTCTGAACAGGCCCTATCTCACCTCTAAATTACCCTCCACCAGGGCCACAGGTTGATTTTTCACTAGATATTCACAGATAATGCCTCTGGCTAAACATGGTTAATCTTCTAACTGTAGTTGGTGGAACATTTTTTAGAGTTTTTCATATTTAATGTATTTTTATAATAACTTATTATTATTATTATTGAAAAATACACGTATGTTACATTGACGATAAACGCTCCCACCGTGCACACTGTTTCAAGCTCACATTTTCCACTAGTGATTTTTCCACTAATGAGATCCTAAGGGCACATTCCCACAGATTTTAGATCGATCTATCCCCGTGGGGAGTCTCACTAGATTACTGTCAGATAATCCGGCTTAAATGTCCGTCTCGCCTACTACAAGCTGTAAGGGGGTAATTAACTTTCGTGCCCGCTCGGCTGACAGCTATTTAGCGTGAACCCCCAGGAAGTTAGGTCGATCTAGTGGGATCGATCTAATCTCTGGGAATGGGGTCTAGCCGTTGTGTCTGTGCACCCTTGGGGAAAGGATAACTTTTATCGTCTTTTTATAACATCAAACATTGGTCAGAAATCAACTGAGTGTCAAGCATTAAACCTTAAGAAAATCAAGCTTAGCTGCATGTACATGATACCCATGCAATTTTGCATAATTCTGAGAATATTCAAACATAAGTTTATTGAACACGCTTGCCTGTTTTAATTTAGTCTAGTATGGATAGATGCACGCTTTAGAGCCTGTTCATACTTTCGGACTTAAAAACCTGGAAACAATGAACCTTCGTACTATTGAACCTTCGGACCAATGAATCTTCGGACTACGTCATGCACCCGAAAATCAATTCGTGGTCCTAGTACAGGGTAATTATATATCATCGATATCGTTTATAATCAATATCATATTTATGAAAGTAGGATGCATCTCAGAATGAAATTATTTTAGGGATTCTACTTACTCTTCCGACCGTCCACGTTTTGTCGGAATATTGTGACGTTGTGTCCTGCACAAAATTATTTTATATATTTGATTATTATTATATATTTGGTATCACTTATAATGCACTAACAGCTAGATTACGTGTAGATAAGGTCGTAAGGTTAAAATAAAGGAGGGTTTGGAAATATTCGATACATCTTTATATATCGAAAAAGACTTCTGATTCTTACTACCAACGGATATTTCGATTTTAACGACGGGTGAATTTTGTTGCAATAGCTGATGCGCACTAATCTAAGGGGGACGCTATCTTAATGCATTCACATTTTAATTCTTTATTTAATTAATTTATTAAAATATTTATTAAAATAGACCAACATGCCTCCTGATGTTGAGTAGAATATATAAAAGCTGGTGATAATACCAAAAAGTTGGAAACAAAAAGGTGTGCTAGTCTGTTAATCTGATTGCATTCTGCGAGAGTCCGCTGAGTAAGAGCGCATTACCTAGGTCGACAAAATTCACTCTGAATTTCATGGTCCCACATACATCGCATTAAGTGTAAACAATTATAAATTTTATAATCATTTTAAAAGATCGATCTGTAAGAACTTTTAGAATGTATTTATAGGCCTATTACATTTTTCGTCTCACAGAAATTCATTTTATTTTGGCACAGAACTTACGTACATGTACATCCTTTTCATTTCCAATCCACTTCTTTCCAGTAACAGGGTTCCTTTGAATTACTATAACACTAAAACCGACAAGTGGTATGAATAACTATTTTTATTTCCAGATATTGCAATTAAAATTGTAAGTTGAGTCAATTAAACATTAACACATTACGCTGTTACTCATTTGGTGCTTTAGTAAAGAATTAAGTATTTTTCTCTCAATGTTATAATATATTCGAAGTTATTTTAATTAGAGTAAGCAACTAGCTGCGGAGAGTACAACATTGAAAATCAATATATAACAGGAGAAAAACTGCCAATTAGACCACAGCACTGGGACATTAGCATGCTTATGTAAATAAATTAAAGCAATTATGTAAAATCTCTTACTACTTGATGTACTGGGCCTTTTAATTATGCTAAATATTTAAAAATGTTTTTGAAACAAAAATATTTCAAATGGGAACAAAGTTAAATAAATATTTTTGAGGTAAATGACACCTTTGGACATAAATAATTGTGGTAAATGCCATACTGGTAATCTTCCCAGGATTTCAAAAATACACGATTTAAAACTTCTTTGGTGTGAGACAATAAAGAAATAATCAAAATCAAAAAGTAAAAGGCAAACAACAACAACATCAACAACAGCAAGAACATTGCACGCCCTCTACCTTTAAGTCAAACATTTAAGTCATACAAATATATTCAAAATAATTTTAACATGATGCAAATGCTTTAAGTATACCACTTCAAGTGGATACACCTTTGGTCTGATTTGTACAGTATAAAGTCCTTGCAATCAAACCTTTTTTCCTACTGGCGCAAGCATTAATATACAAGCCCCATCTTACTTTTTTTTTGCTTCCACTTATTGCTGCATATAAAAAATTAACTTTCATTTTATCCATTTCCTGCCCATTGGTTATTATCTCTCTTAAATGAGGAATTCCTTCCCTCCCCCTGTCCACTTGAAATTTCAGGGGCATATAATAAAATAAAGTCAACAAAATTTCCATCAAAAATCATCCACATTACTCATAAATACCAATTTCCTTTGAAGTAACCCCCACCCTACATGTTTTATCTTCTGTTACATCATGATATGATCACGATAAAACTTTCTTAATAATTACCCAGTTCCAACAAGTCCATTGATTCATCTGTCCACTAAGTGTGTTAGGTGAGATGAACACAATCACTGGGGTTTCTCTGCATAAAACAATCCCCAGCGCTGCTCTCCGGTTCCTGAACAGCGAGCAATCTTCACTT